GGCTGGACCGGCAGTAGAGGGCCCACGGGGGTACCCAAGACGCGTAGCATCATCTCAATCGAAAAGGACCCGTTGCCTACAGAGCCAAGGATGATTGGTACCGGGTCAAAAGTGTTTAGTGGGAGGGAGAGTATCAAGTTGGGCAAGGCCACGATTACGAGTGGGGGGACTGTAAGAAAGAGTGCGAGTGCGGGTGTGATGGGGGTTGGTGTAACGGCCACAGGATTCTTTACCTCTCCCCAAGCGAGCTCGTCATGAGCCAGCAAAGTCTCCAAAGGTGGATGCCACTCGTCTAGTCGTGTGTACCGAAATGCTGGTTCTGCCTTTGCCTTCTTTCCCTGACCACTCTCTCATTTTTTCGATTATTCCGCTTATCAAAATGTGTGTATTCACTGGACTACATAGACGTCTTCTTCTGTCACACTCTTGCTCGATCTCTGCTTTCGCCATTCGACCATGCGCACCTTCACTGTACCCCCTCGCTGTATAACCTATTTATATTGTGATCTTGAGCAAATTTTTTCCGATTTCTATTCGAGCGATGCTTTGAATTCATCGTAAGGCTGGGAGGTGAGGGAGCACCCGGGGATTGGACAGCAGAACTTGACCTTCTCCCTCCCGCCTCTCCATTCACTCTCTCAATCGACCCCGGTCCACGGCTGGCCAATACGCAAGTAGACAATACAATGTCGAATTCAAGTGAGGTTGTACACGCATCTTTCGCATGCGTCATCATATCACTTGGCCACGCACCTGTATAGCGGTTGATTGATTAATTTCTACGGGCATGCAGTTTTTTAGGGATCCCGTAGGGACCAGTCAAAACAATTTTCGAACCCAAACCATGCAGGGAGGATATCAAAGAGACTGGTAGTAAACAGTAGCATCGACTGTGCTATCACAATTTGCTTTCTCACAACTCCACTGCTACCTTGTACACTCCAGCCCTCAGCATCTTGGCCAGGGATTGGCGTCATCCCTATATTCACCTTTTTCGGACGACAATATTTTGAGTATAGCTCCTCTTACTCGTCTTATAAAAAAAGCGTGAATATTTCGTTGAGGCGATCGAGCAACTCGATTATCAAGGGTACCTCGATCACCTTGTCAGAGGGGTCCAGGTTCCTCAAACAGCCCCTCGACGCTGCCTTTATTGGAGGAGTTAACTCTTTATGGAACACCCCACTGGGATATCCTTTTCTTAATGGTGAAGCGACGTAATATCACGACTGCGAAAGGAGTCAACCCGATCAAATCTTTAACTATAACGACCCGCTGTCCTAAAGAACTGACCAGTGCGCTCATAGGTCTATTGAAAGGGAAAATTCCATGCAATCTGGCGCTATGCGATCTATCGATCAATGCTATCTCAGAAATAATAAAGGATCCGTCTATGTGAGCGAACTGGTGCTTCATTGTCCACTATAAGCTCACTCCTCCATAGTTCTGGCTGTGAAGAATGCCTCTTATCCATGAGAAGCTGTGATTCTAACTTATCAGAGGTGCTTAGAATCACCGCTCCCCAATGGAACGTCACGAGGATTCCAGATCTTCCGCCATATCCCAATTTAGAGGAAGATATTCTGTCTACTTGGGAAGACCGTCATATTGCATGGATGAAGGATATTGTTCCGAATGTACCGAGGGTATCCTCTTGCGCAAAGTCGATAGTTGATGGGGTTATGACCCTTACGCAGGACTCATGTCCAGACTCACTCCGCGGCCCTATGCCCCTCAGCTATTCCGAGAAAGCAATGCGCCACAACAACATTTTACATTAATCAATTGTGAACCAGACTCGAGAGTCGCTTCTGTGTAGCCAGCAGGGAAACAAGACATGGTTTGACAAACCCCATGATTGGTACTTTATCGCGACATTATACATTGAACTGTTTCAAAACAATCCTTTTGTTTCATATTAGCTCAAAAAAATAAACGCTGCTACCTTATACGCTATCTAGTAACATAACATGAGTCCATAAAACAGGCTCTAAAAACCTTTTCCACTTCAAATCAATATTTCGGCGTGGTTTTCTATCTCTCTAAGGAGAATCAGGCTTTGTTTTTGCGCTTCCGTTCACGATAAATGAAAGGCGTTGGGTCAGGGGTCCAGCCTCTGATTTTTTGGCGTTCCTCGGTAATGGCATTCCACTCTTTTCGTTTGTAAATGCACTTGAGAGGAGAGGAAATAGGAACAACTCGAGAAACTTTCGTGGCTGTCGACTTTAGCAAGCCCGGGGTGGAAGGGGATGGCTTGCCCGTGGTGTTTCGTCTGCGAGCCCATAAAATTCGAACATCCAATGACATTCGTTTTTCTTCATCCATGATTTCTATAGAGTCAAATGTTAGCTCCTCCCCAACAAGAGGGTATCAACCAGCGTACCAGCGTCTATCTCGCGTGCCCAGAGAGCCGCAGAAGCATCTGGAAACCCAAAGCTACGGAGGATATCTTGATGGTTCTTTCGGACACTCTAATTTCAAATTAGACGCCGAAGAGCGTATGTATTTGAATGACTCACCAAAAGGCTGAGTTGCATGAGCTTCCCAGCACGGCGGAGACGCTCTTGACGGACAGGATCTTGGTCTACGAGAGCATTAGTACGAGTCATATAATGAATAGGCGCGGAGACGTACGAGTAGTCCATGTGCCTATTGGCATCAGTAGCTCGGCGGCACCGCAGTCATCCAGTTGACCATAGTCCCACAGACCGTCTTGGAGAGTGATGCGCATCATGAATTCATCAAGGCCAAGGGCAGAGTTTGCATGGCGTACTTCTGTATTTACTTTGTCAGAATTACATGATAATGGGAGCAGCTGGAAGCACGAACCGTAGAACAGCCTCTGCAGCCGAGTACCTTTGGATGGATGTTGCTGCTTTTCATTGGTAGGATGGTTTTTTGGTCTTCGGCGATCAACTCTCCGGTTGAATCTATCATAATGAAGAGTCCACCCGGCTTGAGACACAGCTGGAGCTCCTCCATCCTCCTTCGGAATTGCAGAAACTTGAGAATAGGGTAAGCAGATATTCTTCCCGCAATGAAAGGTTCTCACTGAACCGGCAACAAAGCGTAAATGGATCAAATCAAAGGATGCACTATATTTGTCTGAGAGAATCTCTTCTGGATGGACGACCCTGAAATTGCAATTTTTGGGGGTATCATTGTTCCAGTATACGTCCAAGTTTTGACAGTCCACTCCCCACACCTCGACGTGCGGAAATTCCAGGGCCATTTCGACACACCTGAAACTGCATAAGAGATTTCTTAAGGTACTCTGAACTGATTATAGTTACCAAGTTCCTATACCACAGCCTTCCAAGTCTCATCAGCCCCTGCCCTTAATACGGGACGGAGGTACATACCAATATCCAACACGCGTTTTGTGACTCCTTGCTCTGGCGCCAATACCGCTTTCACTGTATCGGTGCAGGGGTATAGTCCGTCGAGATG